AGGAACGATCCATCAACGGTGAGAAGGGGATAGCTGGCCGAAGCCCTTGTAGAAACCTGGGGCTGGGCAAGGCACTCACTTGGGTTTGGCTGGGCAAGGCAGCTGTGGCAGCTGCTCCCACCTCTCCTGCCTCCCCCTTCAGCCACCCGAGTGCTTCGGGACAGGCCTTTGGCCTCTGAGCGGGCTTGGCGCTGCTGCCCTCGATGGCATCAACAGCACAGCATTGTGTTCCACACAGGCTGACAGCACGCTGAGCCTCACACAAAGCCTGGTGCAGCTCCTGGGGGATGCAGATGGAGAGCTGGTGGCAATGACCCTAGCTGTGCTCTCAGATCACTTGTGGGAGCCAGACATCCAGCTCTCCAGAACCACTGCTCTGAAGCTGGCTGAGGCGCTCCAGCCACTCTTTGGCAACGTAAGGCCCCTTGCCCCTCACAGGAACAGGCACTGGATGCTGCCTGGAAACCTTGGCCTGTGCATTTTCGGGCCTGTTCTCAGGCAGACCTGCAGCAGCCAGTGCTGAGGACTTTTCCTCTCCTTTCTCTCAGGACATCAGCCAAGTGCAGCTGCTCTCCATTCACATCTTCCACAAGGTGATGGAGTTGGCAGTGAAGAAGGCAAGAAAGTCCCTGAAGCGCTACGTGGTGCAGAGCCTGCTCCCACTCTTCTTGCACTGCCATGATGACAACCAGGACATGGCAAAGGTCAGGACTCCTGGGTTCTGCTGTCCCCAAGGGAGGGACTGGGCTGCCTCCTGCCCTGGGCATCTCAGGGGCTCCGGCCTCCTCCTGGCTTTGGTCCAGGGACACAGGTCCTGTGCCCTGGGCTGCGGTCTCATCTCCCGCTCTCCACTTCTCTGCAGGTCTCTCGCCAAGCACTGCTTTGTGCGGCCAGGTTCCTGAAGTGGAGCGATCTGGAGAACCTGGGGATGACAGAGACCCTGTGCACATTCGGCGAGTGCTTGGTAAGGACGATGTGAAAGCCCCAGCCCCAGGCAGTGCCCGGCCAAGGGGCAGAGCCTGAGCCAACCCTTCTGTGCTTGCCCTGCCGTTCCCTGCAGCTGCAGAAGGACAAGAGCAGAGCGGCCAAGTACCTGCGCCAGGCCCTGCCGTACCTGCAGAGCCCACAGGAGCCCGTGCGAGAGGCAGCCCTCGGGTTCATTGGTGAGCCACAAGGCCGCGGTCCCTCCCGC